TTACAAATATTTTACCCAAATAAGTTTAGCCTATCGTAAATGTGGTAATGGTGGTATCAAAAGGAGGTGGTTTAGGATATTTAATTTTCTAAATTATGCCGCTGCCCTGGTTTTGTAATTTATCTTAGACCAGACCCTTCAAAAGCTGATTTCCTATTTTATACCAGCCCAATTATTACTAATGATGGGCTGCTTTACCAAATGGAGAGACTAACAGCCCTTTGAACTGTTATGCAATCCCGTTGTAGTTTGTTAGTGTGAATACCTGGTAGTGTTCCTGCATCCCCCAAAGTGTTTATGATTCCTGAAATTATACTCTTGTGTGAGCCATCCCCCCAGGTCTCTCCTGTTACAATCCCTTGGACAAGGCGGTTGTTACTTAACAGGGTAGGAGTAATTTTCTGCGACACCTAGTAAACGTTGTGCACGTGTGTGTTGAGTGTTTCTGGTTTCATCCTCTTTCTCTGCCTTCTTTTCTTCTGCCGCCTTCTCTCCCCTCACCCCTTTAAGCCACGGCGTAGCGCATTTTGGGGGTACGTAGGAGGTGCACAGTAAATCTTTTTTGAGTGATGGGTTGACTAGAAAGTAAGGACTTTTTGAATCATAATTTTCTGTTCCTAAAATGATATTCCTGAAAAAAAAAAAAAAGCTCCTTAGTCAGTCTTAGAAACAGCAGGGATGGCAATGAGTAGTCCTTATCACTCCTGCCTGTTGAAGCCTGCCGCCCGGTCCGCATTCCAGCATGGCAAGATGAGTCCCTATCTCCATTGGCAGTGCAGTAACTTAAAGACACCCCTCACTTCATCACTGCACGGGTTTTTATATGGTTAAGGTTCTTACATCTCTGCCTGCCCTAAATCATGCGGCGATACCCAGTGTCAGTCCCATCAGTTTGTCCGGGACCGTTTCCCCGTAACTGATTACCAAGTGGCTCCTTTGCTGTAAGCTGCCAACCAGTTGTCTTCCTCTCTTAACACCAGGAAGAGGGGAGACCTCAACTTCCAGGAAGCACCCTCTGCTTTTCTGGGAAGGAGAAGCAAACATTATCCTTACAAGTATTGAAAAATCACTATTTTAACCTTTATTCACCAAATACTTATATAGCCCTTACTATGTGTCTGGTACTATACCCATAAGCACTTTAGCAAAATTAGCTTTTTTGATGCTTGTAAAGCCTGTGATGGAGGTGTTGTTATCCTTGGTTCATAGATGAGGAATCTGAGGCAGGAGGCTAAGGATCTTGCCCAAGATCACACGGATTGTAAATGGTGGGGCCAGGAGTCAGACCCGGGCCGTCCTGCTCCAGACTTGATGCTTTTAACCACTAAGATGTGCCTCTCCCATTAAAGGTCATTCTGCAGATTATACATGGTCAAGAGCTCTTTAAAAGATAAGATTCTCCCAGAATAGTAAAAGATTGCCACAACACGCCACTTAAGGAGAAGAAAAATCAGTAGCAAATCGAGTAAAACTCTGATGTTTAGACATAGAAAGTTCATCTCTCCCGGGGAGAGGCCCTGTGGAGGTACCTTCTGAGGATGATAGGATTATTGTAGCTACATCCCTTGGATTACAGGTGCCAGCTTATCTTTGCTTTCTTGCATTTTATCACAGACAGTGAGGAGAGCCAGTGGCCCCTCCAGTAGTGGGCCTGCAGAATCTTCTTAACTAGATCATTAGGATATATTTACTACTTTTCTATGTTACAGCAGGGGACAGTGTTGCCAAACTTTCTGCTACTAATAAAAGCCCCCCGCCCCAACCCCAGCTTCTAGTAACATTTTAGAACTTTCTTTTAAGCCCTAACAGACTCCTCAGAGCCCTTCCCCACCAGCTGGTCCCAGTGATAAAGCCACATATTTTAGATTTTTTTTTTTTTTTTTTTTTAATGACAACACACCCTGCTTCGGGGTCCCAGAATCTCAGTTATTTAATGCTGCAAATTTTAGTGGCTTAACACAGTAATGGTGGATTATTTTGCTTCTCTGCCCCACGCAGTGTCATCTGGAGTCTCTTGACCGGGGCCTCTCCACTTTCCCAAGATGGCCCGCTCCGATGGCTGGCAATTGGGTGCTGGCGGTTGGAGTTCAGCCAGGGTTGCTGGGCAGTGACCTCAGTTCTTCCTTCTAGACTGCTCAGACTTCATGGCATGCTGGTAGCTGTGTTGGCAGAGTGAATGTCCCAAGAACCAGGTGAAAGCATGTCCCCTTCTGTGACTTACTCATCGCAGTCACATAGTTTCACTTCCCCCATAGTGCTGAGTGCACCCAGTTGCAAGGAAGGGGAACCAAGGCTCCATCTCTTAAAGGTGGGCATATGGATCACACTGTAAAAAAGAAAATGAGGCATAGGTGATATCGTGGTTATTTTTGGAGAGCACAGTCTGACACAAAATAGGACTATCAGAAGATCCCCCTTACATAACCCTTTGTCTCGATCCCTTCTTTTTTCCCTTTAGCTAAGCAAATCCCGATAATACAGGTTTTCTACTTTGTCGGATGATATGTTTCCATTTAAGTGTGCATATATTTTTTACATGTCAGTCTTATCCTCACCTGTTTTTTGCCTGAATACATTGTGCTTGTTCTTTTTGTTAATATTACATTTGAAAAGAACCTGCCATCTATTAGGAAAATCAGATTCTTCACTCTGAAAAAAGAAGGTTCATATCTAATTCATATTCTGGTTTGCATTTGCAGATCAAATACTGTAAACGCTTATCAAAAAATGACAATGATAATTTATTCCCTTCCTAATGGTAGCCCATGAAGGGTGGTGAAAAATAATTCAAAACAGGTTAGAAAATGATTTGCCGTTGACATGGGTGGGTTTTGCAATGAGTTGACTGGTTTGTCCCTTATGGACAAGCCTGTTAAGTATTCATTCATTCAGCTAGTTTTTACTGAGTATAGTGTCAGGTGTTGGGCCACATTGGCAGCCAGATGTGGTCTTGCCCTCATGGAACATGTCAGATAGTGAAGAAGCTGGACATTAGTAGAGAATCACCAAATAAATGTAAAATCACAGCCTTATTAAGTGCTGTAGTAGAAAGGAACTCTGAAGTATCTGATGGGGAACCTTTGTCACCCCTAATGAAGTGCTTCTGAGCAGAGATCTGGAAAATGGAGAAGACACATGTTGGCGAGAGACGCGTGAGTGTATCCCAGCCTCACACTGATCTGCGTGCAGGTATCCGTAGATACACACGCCCCAGGTTTACAGGCGTTTCCAGGAAAGCAGTAGCTTCTGCAATTTTGTTCAGAGAAGACCGTGTGTTAAGTAACTCTTGGAAAGCACATGTTCACACAGGCCCTTACAGAGAGGTTTAAGGAGCCTTTTTCATTTATGAAGAATTACTTAATTTTGAATAATGGCGATCACTATAAACAAGGGCAGTTCAAGTAAGGGGTAAAGTACTAATTGTAGCAATTGTTCTCCATGTATGGCTTGGGGACTCCTGGAGGTCCACAAGACCCTTTCCCCTATCTGAGCTCAAAACGATTTTCATAACACCGAGACATGATCTGCCTTTTTCACATTCCTTCTTTCGTGAGCATAAGTGGACTTGTCCAGAGACGAGATGACTTTATCACAGCAGATTGAATGTAGAAGCATATATGAGAACTCAGCTGTCCTCTGTTAAGACAACCCTTTAAGAACTTTGCAAAAATGTGAAAGAATGTCATTCTTCTTACTGTTTTTTAAAATACTGTTTTTTTGTACCAATGTTGTCTGTGGCCACATGTAATGGGTTTATTTTTATTTTTTTTTAATGAATAAGTATTTCTAAAATTCACTTTAACTTCTAATATGGTAATTATTGATAGATATAACCCACATAAATGGAAGTTCTTTTGGGTCCTTGATATATTTAAAAAATGCAAAGAGGTTTTGAGACCACGAAGTTTGAGATTCGCTGAGGTATGGCATTCTATTTGACTTTGAGCATGTTACTTAATCTCTCTGAGACGCAAGGAGTCTGTAAGATGGGGATGATGATCAAAGTAGTGCTTCCCTCATAAAAGGATGAAACGAGTTAGTGTATGTTGAGAGCTTATAAGGACCCATGGCATGGAGTAAGCATTCAACATGTTAGCTTTTGCTGTTTGTTACCATTTAATATGAGAGCAAAATTTATGTGAGTCCAGATATAACTGAGGCACTGTTGCTCGGAATTCTTGCTTGCGTTTGAGGTCATCTGAATCGTTCTGGTAAAATACGATATTCAGAAGTGAACGAAATTGAATTTTGTAATTCTGAGTTGAGTTACAGCAGTGGTTTTTATTGGCACACGGTAAGGGTGTGAGGTTTGAAGACACGTAGATTCAGAATAGTTTGGGGTGTTTTTTCTGCCTGGCTCCCTGCCCCCCCCCCCAGTCTATGCCCTCGTACCTACAGCCAGGGGTCTGCTATGTCCAGAATCATGGTGAACAGGTGGGCAGATGTCGCTTGGGAAAGCTCCCTGGAGATCATGCTACGTGTCTAGGCTCCAGTGTCCTCAGTGATGAGCTGAAGGAGGGGCCACATTAGATAGCTTCTCATTCGGTTCCCCCACTTTTCAGACAGAGAAACTTTGATTTGCTCACCCAGGTTCACTCAGCATATTAGAGGCATCCCAGGATGAAAACAGGCATTCTGATTTATAATGAAAAGAATACCAGGCTTAGACTCAGAAAAACTGGTTTTAGTCTCTGTCCAAAAAGCTTTAATTGGTCATCTGACATTGAGCAATTTGCTCAAATCCCTGATCCCTTCAGTCCTTATTTGTAACATGGAGGTGAAAATATCCATCATCCCAGGGTTGTGAAAAGCATCAGATGGGACCTCATATGAAGGTCCCCAGGGCGTGTCCTCTCATTAAGTCTGTCTGGTCCTTTGCATGTGAAGTCCATAGAGAGACACGTCCTGGTGAAACAAATAATTCTTTTCAGAACTGAAAAGCCTGCCTTAAATATTGTACTGTGTAGCTTTGTAACTGTTTCTTTTTTCTGTCTTTTTAGGACAGCCCAGAAACTTGCAGGACCTGTGCCGAATTAAAATTCGACAATGTATAGGCCTTCAAAACCTAAAGCTACTTGATGAACTACCAATTGCCAAGGTCATGAAAGACTACTTAAAACACAAATTCGATGATATCTGATGTACACAGAACTGTGAGCAAGATTAGGAGTTATATTCCAGATACTTAAAAGGCTTTTTGCCTTGCACAAAGTATATCCTATGCAATTTCTGATTTGCTGTGAAGTCAGAAAGCAGGTATACACTTTTAGGTTTTTTGATTGTTTGTTTGTTTGGTTTTCATGGTAGGGGAGGGATTTTTTTTTTATATATATAAACACACACACACACACACACACACACACACCACATGCTTGAAGGTCTTAATTTGGTTTCTTGGTCCAAGTTTAAGAGGTCCAAGCTTTCTATACAATATTGCATTTACGAAAATTGTTTTTCCAAAACAACACAAGCAGCGTTGGAGTGGAGAATTTCCCCTTTCCAAATGTATGGTTTCATGGGCGTGCACGACATTATAAACCAGCAGAGCACTTGTTAAGGTTTGGAGGCACAGTTTCACCCGGGGGGGTCCTGGGTTCTACTGGAAAATGCCCTAAGAAATTTTTAAAGTAACTCTGTCACCTCATTCATTTTTAATGAGTACAAATTGGCTGTTTGAAACTGTTCCTTTCCTAATTAATGTAGCTCTTGGATGACATAAATCCAGTACCTCTGCTTTCCTGTTGGTGTGCTCTTGTTTTTAACTTATTTTTTTTAACAACTGTAGTACACTACCCAGAGACATTGGGTCTCAATTCTGTCTCTCGTTGAATCGTGCTTTTAAAACAATTAATGGAAACAAAAATAACTTTATAAAGCCAGTGTATTCTGTTTTTAAAACAGTGCCTCCCGTGCAATACTCTTTCTGGTGTATTTTATCCATTATTTCACTCAATGTTTCTCATTCCACAGCCAGCTTTGACATGCCCGTGAGAACAGGAACCGCCACTTTAATTTTAATTGCAGGACCATAGGATGTCAGGTGCCATTTCCATTGTAAGCTTTGTCTTTTACTTCACTTTAAGCAGAAAATTTCATATCCTGGTGGTAGAGTCTTCCCTAAAAATAACCCAAAATATTGTTAAGCCATTTGGCTTTAACAGTTAAATAATTTGGGGGTGGTTTCGTGGTGTTTTTTGTTTTTGTTTTTTTTCCTTCTTCCCAGTTAAAAAAATTTCTAAAGGGTACAATTTCTAATGGGTGCACATTTGTAAGTCTGGTTAATTCCTAATAGGCTAATTCAACACTTCCTATCTATTTTAAGGTTATGCACAGTGAAGCTCTTCTGGACAGTTATTTTATTTTCTGGGTTGATTGGGCATATGTTTGCAGTGTAAACACAGTTATGATAAAGTGTCAGTAACAGTGGGAAAGGTTCCAGAGACATTAGGGATCTACGCTGATGCCCTCGGAAATGTGTTCTGTGCTTATTAACATGCCATCATTTTAGTTTCAGAAGAACCTTTTCAAATATCCCAGTATTGTTCTCAGTGCTTTGGGCGATTTCAAAATATTTATGCGCTAGAAATAAATTTGTTATCAGACGTTTACAAGATAAAGGGCTTCTTTTGTCTGAATTTCTAGTTTTGAGTCATTAAGTATAAAACTACTTCACCTGGAAAGTATAACTAAGCAGAATTGAGCATCTACTCTGGCTTTACCTTTTTTTAGAGAGCCAGCAGGGATATCTATCTCTCAAGCACAGAGTCAGTTCCCTAGGATGCCGAGTAGCTTTGGCATTGGTATATTGGATCTGCTCGTGCCTAGGCAGTGCCCAGGTGCCTGAAGAACGGGCAGCTCCGGAAAAAGAATGATTCAGGGGGATTGCTGATGGGGTACATAGACTCTTTTGCAGGGAGCCAGTAATAGTGTGGCCAATTTGGTAACCATTCCAAGACTAACCGGAGCCTGATGGATAGAAATGGGTGGTCTCCCATCTCCAGAATGTCATCTTCCGATAGAGAGTCCCTCATGCAGCTGAGCTGTGTTCTCATCCTTTCTACCAGTACCCAAGTCAGAAGTGAGACATACTTGCAGTGTCAGGAATGTGCATGGCCAGAAATGTATTGTGTGTTACTTCCCCGTCAAACCCCAGGCCCGGGGAGACAAGGAGCTGGGAGGGCGGGCGCCCGGGACCCTGTACTCGGAGCAGTGCTAGTAACGTTACCTTCACACAGGGCTTAATTCCTCAAAACGTGTGTATTCATTTATTCAGGTAGATGAAAATGACTTCCTTTCCCCAGCCATTCAGAGGTTTCCAAACTAAGTTAGCCACTGAGTTTGAGTCAGGGAGTTCCAAGTAAAAAGATCAGATTAAGGTAAATTCTTTGTTCTGCATTGCTGCTGCGACTTCGGAAAAAAAAAAAATTATGAGAGCTCTTCCTTGGAATTGAAATTTCTATTTAATGAAGAAGTGTATAATTCCATTATTTATTGTTGGAGGTGTGATTTACCTGGAAACTTAAAAAGAATGTTTTATTTTTGTTAGTAAAATCCCAATCACATATCCTGTTTAACCAAAACTAAAATTTTAGTCTCAAAGGTGATAACCAGTAGAACATAGGGATCAACGTGCGGGTCCACATTTGAATTTAATTGGCAGAGACGCATTCGGTGGTCACGTAACGAGTAGAGAGAACAAGTTATTTTCCAAAAATCGATTGATTGGTTTTTCCAGAATCTTCACTGAAACGTTCCGAATATCATCAGATTTGTCGCTGACCCTTCCATGTTCCTTTTGAAATTTATTGTTTAAGCCTATTACTAAACCTTTATGAAAGTATATTTGGCAAGTACACCAAAGAAACCAGCTCATAAAAGATTATGATCATTAATGAACTGCAAACCTCATCTTTTGAAAACAGATTTTTTTTGTGTGTAAATATTTGTGTTTATAAATGTACAGCAGAGTTAAGAGTGTTTTTTAGATTATTTAATTCCCATATTTCTAAACTATTTACTACAAAATAACCCACGCTTGTTAGTTTGGAGGACTTGACTGTTTTGTTTTTTTTTAATTCATTATCCGTAATGCTTGGAACAGCATTTCCGCTAGAGAATTCATTGTTCTGGCAGTGGCAAGAGTACACATCTGGAGCATGAGGAGTCTAGAGTGATTTGTCAGATGCGCACCCTAAGAGACAAGAATGTATAGTTTCATTACCAGAGTGGACCATACACAAATAGAGATTCTAACTTTTCCTGCAGAGTCGCTCATTAGCCCAGAATGTGATTGGGATGAGGCCCTTTGCCCACAAATTTAGCTTTCATGTAACTCCTAGTGTGTTATATCATAATGTATTTTGTTCTTCCTTTGTAATGTAAGTTTTGCTTTGGGTCAATTTGAATTAAAAAAAAAAACTTAAATCTGGTTTAAAACCTATCGGAATTGTGTTTTATTTCTAGTCTGCCTTTAGCTTTTTAGTATTTCAGGCTGTTTGGTGAAAAGAGGCGAAGAGCTCTCTTTCCTTCGTCGGCATTTTAGATCATTGGGAATTGCTTCGAGAGCGTGATAGAGAAAACAGCACCATTTTAGATCAGAGAAGGCAGTTCTTGCCCCCTCCCCAAGTCGCAGTTTTCAATGCGTCCCTCATACACCCACAACAGAAAACAATGGCATCCTGCAGTGTGTTGAGTGAGCCCTGACCCCTTTCAGGCCAATTTCACCTTTGCCTCATGCCTGCCACACCTTGACTGAGCACAGAGTTTGGACCACAGCGTTTCTGAGCACAGAGCAGTAGAACGATGAATTGGAGGGAGTTTATTAGCCTGCAGGAGAGAGAAGCAAGACAACTCTGATTTCCCACTTCCCTTGTGTAGTGTAAACACAGCTTGATTCGGGAGAGACTTCACACGACCATGAGTGATGGTGTACTGAGGGAAAGGGAGGCCAGACGACTGAGACTGAGCGCCCCATGCAGAAATGTTCAGTATTTTGCAGCTCGCTTTGTTGCGGACTTGTCCAGGCTTTGGCACAACTGAAGGCCAAGAATGGGACATTTGAAACGATTCTTGATGATCAGCAGGGGAGTTCAGATGTGAAAAATAGCTGTGTTGCTTGGAAATCTTGAGGTCATTCCTTTTCCAATATGATGTAAGTAGTGTATTGTTTTTTCAGCTGACAGACAATTTACAAAAATGGCTTCCTAGCTATTGATAAAACAGATTATCTCCTTGATAAAAAAAAATATATTTCCACATCCTCTGTAGCTGGGTTTCAGGGAAGAAAGAAAATGGATTTCTAGCGTCTGCCTGTATTTATGTCACATCATGTTAACTGTGTTCTCTTAACGTCTTACAAATTTTGATGTTAGAATTTATACAAGGTTCAGTACCGATGAAATGATTTTAAACGTCCACTGCCAGATACTGATCTGCAGGCCCGAGTTGCTGTAGACTCCTAAGATACAGAAGTCACTTGTCTTTATTCTGTCATGGGTGGTTTTGTCATTACCATTGAAGTGTCCTGAGTTTTCGATAACCAAAACGGATCATCAAGTTGCATCTCCTGACTTTTCTTGTATGCTGCTGGTAAACAACGTTCAAACTTTTGTGATCTATTTCTCGAAGATCATGATGCATTTTATAGATCTCTATGTTCCAGAAGAACTCTGTGATGCCTGAGCGACAGTTAACATTCTGAATCCCATTCGAAAAGACTGAGGTGATTTGCAGAAGGCCCCGTAAGAGCTCATCGATGTGGGCCTGGAACCCTTAGGGCTGTTGGCTGCAGTGTTCTGTCTCTTGTCCTGAAGGAATGCCACACTCAGTAGTGAGATGTGCTCTTTCATTTCATTCATTCACTGATGCCCACAGTGCCTTGTGCTGGGTCGTTGTTGTGCATCCACAAAAACTTAAGTGATTTAGAAATTCTGAAGACCCATTAGGGGTAAAGGATCGGATTCAAGGGGATGATTCTCCTCGGTTGCTGAGAGGACCTTAAGAAAAATTCATATAATCATGTTGGTGGTTATTACAAATATATTCTGAATCTTGGGTTGTTCCAGCATCTTAAAAATCACACTTAGAACATTAAGTTACCTTTTAATTAGGAAATTGTTTTTACATTAGTTAAATGTAACTTCTTTTATGTTACACTAAGTAGTAATGAAGTAGTAATGAAGTGATGCACTTTTCTGTGAAATGGCATTTTATGAATCAGAAAATAGCTGGCTTAATTAGGACAATGGGACTTAGTTGAAGTGGAGAGACTCGGTCATGTGATGAGTAGACTGACCCTTTGTGACTGACACAGAGGTAATCCAGCTGCAGATAGTTCCTATTTTATCTGGCAAACGGAGTCATATTTTTCTTGCTGCTCAGGCTTGAGCTAATGTTGCTTTTCTTCCTCTGATAGTTTCGGGTCAGGTCACTGCTCAGTTTTTTCTTTACAGAAAAAAGAACATTTGTGGGGCACGGGCTTACTGTACATGACCATTTTATATTTCTCTAGAGACCTAGGTTTTCTGTCTTAGTTCTGGCCACTTAACCCTTTAGTGAAGTACATACATGTGCACAGAGTATGGTCTTGGCCTCACTGAGTTGCTTTTGTGTGCTGATTTTAGAGTTCCCAGATTGCTTGTTTTTTGCTGCCTTACCTGGGCAGAATGATAGCTGAATATCATTTAGGAAGAATGTTCTAGCAAACTAGTCAGGGCTACATCCATCTACCATCTTGGGTAGCAGCAGAGAGGAACAGATTGCATTTCTTCCTGGTTTATTACCGAAGCTCTTAAGAAATCATTTGCTGTGGGACGCCTGGGTGGTTCAGTTGGTTAAGCATCTGCCTTCGGCTCATGTCATGATTCCAGGGTCCTGGGATCGAGTCCCGCATCAGGCTCTCTGCGGGGAGCCTGCTTCTCCCTCTGCCTGCCGCTCCCCCTGCTTGTTCTCTCTCTCTCTCTCTGACAAATAAATAAATAAAATCTTAAAAAAAAAAATCATTGGCTATAAGTCCACTGTACAGCGAGCTCCTTGGAGGACAAACCCCAGGTCTTACTTGCCTGAATCTCAAATAGTTCCTGGAAGCCTCTAAGGAAACGAGGGCCAAGTGGATGCCGGCATCAGCATTTCTCAGCACCAAATCTCAGATAAGTACAGTCCTAATTCCTACCAGCATTGCCTTTTGCTGTTCCTTCCTCTTACCCTCTGTCCCCATCCCTCCGGCCCTCCCCTCCACCGTCAGCACTGGGCAGCGGACCCACGTGATCCACCATGCGTGGCGCTGGGATGGCAAGCTTCCCAAGAGAGACCGCCGGACTCCGCAGGGAATTCTGCCTACCTGGAGACTGCCTGCCCCTGAGCTGGCACAGTGCATTGAGCTGAAAGATTACAGTTCCTGTTGGGGCAGTGGACCCTCCATGCATGTCCAGTTCAGAGCATGCGGACAGGGAGCCCCAACTCCCTGTGTGTCTCCGTGGGCTACAGCCGTGCTTGGACAGAGCTCTCCTCCGTTCTCAGGGTAGCTAGATGGGGACCAAGGCAGAGTCCCTGGCCCATCACCACCACCCCCTATGCTCTTCTCCACTGTTCCACGTACAGCACAAATCGGATCACTTTATCTGTAGTAGGAAAGCACCAGCATAGTTGGCCCTTCCGTTCTTTAACCCCTTCTGAGCGCCTCCCTGGCCCAGGGCCTCACGTAGTCCTACACAATCAGTATTTTTCCAAGGACTTCATCTCATCCAAACCCTTCTTTCTGCAGGTTGAAAGCCAGGCAGTTGAGAATGGAAGCGATTCGGTGGCTGTGGTCCTGCACGTAGTGACAGGTGGGTAGGGTGCAGAAGCCAAGCCATCTCAGCCCCGACGTTCTCTGGCTGTCCCCAGCCCAGCCAGCCCCGCTCTTGCTAGCACCAGCGGTTTCCCATGAACAGAAATTGATCCGGAGCAATAACGGGATGAAATACATTTTGGCAAAAGCTGGTGGGGCTCAGGATCTTCTACAGCTACTTCCTAGATTGAAAGCCAACACATCCATATGCTGCCTGTAACTGCCTATAGAACGTTTTCTTGAGAGTTCCAGCTTAGCCTCCACCACGACTTTTGGATGCTCTGAACCAAAGAGAAATAGCAAAGGTTCTGGGGACGCCCTTGGGAAGTGCACTGCCCACCTTCTGGGGGTGGCCAAAAGGAATTCTGGGCCCATCGTGTTTGTTTTGCACTGCAGGTTGGTGAGATGGGTTCTGTAACTGGATATGTGACCCTACACAGGAATGCCCGTAGTCTTCACACTCAGCTCTTTCTCCCTTTTTCAGCTTTTATACGAGCAGCTAAGAGAATGCCATGCCACCATCCTTGCATCACATTTTATGATCCCTTACATTCATCCTATGCAATCCCATTGAGAGTTAAGGAGCCCTGCCAGGGAGTAGAGGGAGGAACGTGGATATTTCGTTTTAGAACTAAGGTTGAATTGAAATAAATGTCCTTGTATCATAGCAACTAATTGTGTATACTTTACAATAGATGTTTCTTTAAAAAAATAATAAAAAAATAGATGTTTCTTATCTGGAGGCTTCTGAAGTTTTTATGGAAGATGCTGATAAATTTTCTTCAAGCTTTACGTCATTACCTCTAGCAATTAAAAAGTAAAACTTGCAGATTTAGATGGGATGGGCCAAGTGTCTTTGCTGACCTGGAAGGTGTCATGTTAGTTTACCCGAATTCATCAGCCCTTAAGACTCTGATGCTTTATTCCAGAAAGTACTGACAACTCTAATACTATCCATAGAACATGTGGAGGTCCCGTGGCTAAAACCACAGTGGACATGTCAATAAGGCGGTCATTTCTCTTCCAACTTCCTGTCAATCCCAATTCAGGGTGGATTTGAAAGTCACGCCCACCACCTCCCCACCCCTGGCAGGCATTTCTAAGGCATGAGATGCAGGGCCATTAAGGCCCCCACCTGCTGGGATAACACCAGTGGTGGAGAGATGAAGAGTCCCTCGCCTCACGCCTCTCCTCATGGGGAGAGCAGGCCCTGGGAGGGATGGGCCTGACACATGGCCACAGTCTGATGACAAGCTTCACGGTGCACCGGGAGCCTCAAACTGAGACAGGCAGAGCTAGTAGCAGGTGCTTCCTTGCCTTGGAGCCTGTTAAAGAATGAGGGACGGCCTCGCCTGGGCCACAGAAGCTGTGGGCCTGGGAGGCAGCACCTTCACTGCACCTGCTCACACTTGCCTTTACTCCTGATTCCTATTCAATCTGTCCTCAGGTGTGTCTGTCCTGTACGTATAAGTGATGAGTGTGTGTGTGTGTGTGTGTGTGTGTGTGGTGTGTGTGTGTGTGAAAGTAAAGCCTTAGATGAACAGGGATGAGGTTTTGCTCAAGGAACTGTGTTGGACAGGAAACAGGCTGTCTTCTCCTGGGTGGAAGG